TCTTGTTATCGTAGCAGCAGCTTCAAGGTTTGTAAATAAGTACTTTAAACTCCCAACCAGGAAGAGAGAGAGCTTGAGACTTCAGAGACAGATTTGGATGTGTCCCAAAAAGAGTCACTTGAGCACCTAAGTGCTATGAAAATATTAAAAATAAAGATTAAAAAGATTAAAAGGATTAAAAGGGGAGCAGAGCTTGATACAAACGCTGTTCCTCCCTCAAACCGGAACCGGAACTCTTAAAAGATAAAATAAAATAAACCTCATTGAATGCACCATAAATCTGTCTGCAGTTCTAATGATTTCATATTTGTTGATTTATGCATCTGTCAGGGATGTTAGCAAATCTTTGGGCACAAGTTCCAGTTCCACGTCTTTGGTACAAAGTACTGTGGCTTAAGCCCCATGTCTGTCCCTATTAAAACAAGCTTCCCCCCCCAGAAAGGAGGGAGGGGTGGGTGCATTCCAAGTCCCAAGTCAAGCCCAAGTCATTAAACAAAAACATGAGGAGTTCAAGTCAAATCACTGGTGTGACTTAAGTCTGATTTGAAAGTGGATCTCTTGACTTGCATCTGTTGTTTCATTTTAGAGATCAGAAAAGAGGCTGTAGTTACAAAACTGTAAGACTTGTTACAACAAGGAAAAGTGGGTTCACTGGGAGATAAAGAATGACCTTACAAGCACACAGAAGTCCGACAGAGTAGCAGGGCTGGTAACCAGACTGAACCAGTCAGCTGAGTGCCAGCTAGAGGACTGGATTTGGGATCTCCCACTTATAGTCGACAAGGTGAGGAGAAATTCCCCCGGGGTGGCCCTGTGCCGGTCACTCTCTCTGCCTTCCTCTCAGAAGGGCCAGCCTCCCACCCTTGTCATGAGGTTACTGAGGGGAGCCATTTGTGCGCCTTCCGCTCAAGGAGGAAACGGGACTCCCGTTTAACTCACTGATTCATTCATTCATGAAAATAAGCATACACTGGGAAGACAGCCTGACTGGGGGCACTGGAAAAGAGGAGGGAACTGCTCCGAGATGCGGGTCCTGCTCTTTGGGAAGACTGCAGGGATGTGCCCAAACTGGAGAACGGGAAGGATGAGGGGGTGTCAACGGGGGTGTTTAAGGGAAGCCAGCGAGTGGAGAGAAGGACAGAGGGGGGTGTCCCCCATTTCCACCAGTGCCTCTTACCCCCCTGCCCGCCCTCCTCTCCGGGGTGTCTCTCCATCCGCGTCCCCTTCAGCCCCTTCTCTCTCCCTCCTTCCCTCCCTGCCTGCCTGCCTGTCACTCACGCTGTGCTTCCCCGGCGCGTGCTGCTTGAAGGTGGTCGCGAGCGAGATGGGGGGCACCACGGCCAGGGAGTTCCATTGTTCGGGCTCCTGCCCCACGTGGATGGCCTGGGTGGCGAAGTGCCGGAAGGGCGGCAAGAACCCGCGGCTCGGCTCCGCTGGAGCGCCTTCCATGGTGGGGGATCCTCGCGGCGGCGGCAGGTGCCTGCGACGGCCAGGGAGTTCCATTCTCCGGGCTCCTGCCCCACGTGGATGGCCTGGGTGGCGAAGTGCCGGAAGGGCGGCAAGAACCCGCGGCTCGGCTCCGCTGGAGCGCCTTCCATGGTGGGGGATCCTCGCGGCGGCAGGTGCCTCCTTCCCTCTCGGTCGCTAGGAAGCCCAGCGGATGTGCCCACGACGGGTCCGCGGCGGCAGGAGCAGGAGCGGGAGCAAGGCTGAGGCTGGCGCAATCTCTGGATTTCGCCCTCTGGCTGGCAGGGACAGCTGCCCC